CTTGAAAATACTTGGAGAAACCCGGAGTGGTGGAATCCTTGCAGCTACGGCACATCGAAACGTGGTGACACAACATGACATGGATGTAGTATAATTATTATATATGCCTATTAAAGAAAGGGGCATGGAACATCTGCCTAGATCTGCACATATCCACAGTTAATCCGAGCAGGTTGTGAGGGATGTCAGACCTGTTTTGGGCGTGCCAACCACCACAACCAGTCCTTTCTCTTCATGTCCCAGTCGCGCGGATGTTTGTCGTAGACCACAACACGGCTTGCAAAATCACTAGTGGGACTTTGCGCGACTCCACTTACACAGCTTGACACTCCTGTGCAGGACAAAGGCCGGCAGCGCTAATGTGTACCTGCGCTGATGCACAGGGTAAAATGGATAAACTTTCTATGTTTTTGGGTATGGGCCGGGGCACCAATGGATTTCAACCATGGTGTTGAGTTGAATAGTTTGATCTGGATCAGGATGGGAGGCCAACATGGCCTCCCTTCCTGCTGAAACATGTGCCCGCCATTCCTCCCTTCCGACAAACGATTGAGGCTCACCTGTAAAGAAGCGGTGAATATAATATCTTCTGCAAGGAAGTCAGAATCATTGCATTTGACTAATGAAGGTGCAGGGCAACAAAGAAATCAAAGAACAAGTCCTGGCAAGTACGGCTTGTATTTTTGCTTGCCATTCTTTTTGGGGAACTGCAGCATCCTTCTGTTTCAGCCTTCCTTTCTACTTCCTGTCCACTCTGCAGGCTGGGGCACAATGCGAGCAATGGCACCCAGTGCCTCCTCCTGACAGATTTGTGACAAAGTGGATTCACCTACTGAGATCCATGGATTTCGGTGATTGCCATGGAAAAAGGCACCTGTGGAGAGGACATTGTCACAAGAGGTCTACGTTTTGTCTTTTGTGAATGATCAAAAGATATCAAAAAAAATCAAAAAATATCAAAAGTGCAACTATGCCAAAAAGGCTAGGCAGAAACCCGAAAGCTCATCTCGTTGCCCTAGTGCAACTATCTCTAGTCTAGTGGCATTGAACTCACTTTGAGCTTGGAGACCCCGAGTTTCTTTCGCTCCCTTTCACTCCCGAAACCCGGTCTGAGACAGACTGTTCAAATTTGGGACTTGGGAAGCCCGGTCTGATGTTTGAAGTATGTGACCTGACATGCTATACCAGCACCGCTTAAAATCCTATCCTCCGCGCTCGTCGATTGGTCAAGCCCAGCTCCGAGTCCTGTATTTCCAAAGCATGTTATCATTCTCCATCTTCGCAGTGTATGTTCAATCTCTTTGGATTCTGAATGCTTTGCGATGCTTTGCTACGCTTTGCTTGGGCTTGTTGTTTCTCCATGAATGAGAGGCTCGTCGGCTCCTCTCACATATGTTGAAGCGCCTTACAACATCTTACAACAAGGCCAACATATCATGATAACTAATCATTAAACATCTCCGGCTGAGCCATGTTGCGCTGTTCATTGCAAAGTGGACCTTCACAGGGTTCATTCCAGGTTTGTGCGAGATTTGATCCTCTGAAAAGCAAGCTGAGCAAACACTTCATCAGACCGGAAGGATCGTTCGGCAGAAAACATGAAGTCTTCCGGTCTGAAGTTTTCGCAACGGATCTTCCCACCGACTTTCATGTGAACAAATGGGAAGAGTTCATCAACATGACGTGCACCCCGTCGACTTTGGGAACTGCTCCTGCTAAACTACCTGCTTACGGGTCATTCAACAATTCTACGTGGATTCCCGTGAACAAGTGGATCGGGTGGATTTGAAGGGTTTCCATCGAACTGGGCCAAAGAGGGGGTCCTTCGCGAAGCCTTCGATTCGATCAGCCTTCCGGCTTTTGGGAAAGTTTGGGGCGCTGGGGTGAGGGTGTGACGGAAGGAACATGATTGCAAATAAGAAAAGCATGTGCTGGGGCTCTTGACCTGCATGGATCAGGATAGAAAAATGCTAAAGAATTGCAAAATTCTTAAATGCTGCCAGCTGGTTCTGTAGCCCCGAAAATGGTAAAACCAACGTTGGTCACTTGTCATCTGTACTTTGTCATCTGTACTTTGTCTAGCCAAAAGTGGTGCACATGCAGAACTGCCTCGATTGTTGCGCCAAAGTGAAGCAGTCTGCCAGCGTCTCCGGCCCTTTTTGCAGGATGTGGTCCTGAGGGACCTTTCCTCAAGTTTGCGTTGAAGCTGCTCCAGCATACCTTGTAACTTCATGTCAGCAAAGTCAGGGCTCCAAAGGTCCCATGAGATGCACTTGAAACAACACGCAGCATGACATGCACAGCATGTGGATCCTGCTTTGAGACCCGGGCTGTTCACGTGCATCAAGCCAACCTAGCAAATAAACACTCACCACTTCCATGTCGTATATCATTCCACAATGACTACATGTGACTATCTACTGTCAATGTAGCCAGAATGCCGGCTTGAACACCTGATGGGGCCTCCTCAGCGTAAAAAAGGCCAGTTGCGCTTGTGCGGTTACCCTTATATAATGGTTCAGAATGTTACAGTTTTCATGCCCCCAATTGTGATCCTTATGCATGGCTTGACAATGGTCAGTTCATAGCCAGTCCAGTTCGTTATGGTTTGTGCAACTGTTCCGCTCAGCCTAATGCGTTTGTCACGAGACTTTGGCATACACTCCAGCCATCTCTCTGATGTGAGGACCACATTAGTTCACCAATTGGTTGGGGCCTCTTTGCAAACGATCAGCCATGACCGACCATGACAGCTGACAAGGCAAGTTGCATCTCTCTCTCTCTCTTTCTCTCGGGCACCCGTGCGACAGCCACGCAACGAGTCGGCTTCCCCGCAGGACGGTCACGCTGCACGGACACCTCACAACTTGGCCCCAGTCGGTCGCCGGCAGATTGCGGGTGGGAAAGACTCTGGTGATGGTTGGTCCTTTCAACCATGGACAAAGAATCAGAAAGACACAACCAAGGCGAGAGGAGAGAGTTTTGGGGATGACCTCACGAGGGAAGGAGGGAAGGTGGACAGGAGTGAGTGAATGAGTGCATAAGTGTGCCTTCATAAATCCGTAAAGTGAATGAGTGCGTTTGTAGTTTTGGAAGTCGGTGTGTGAGAGCGTGAGGCGTGTCGAGTTGAGGCCGAGGACCGTGAGGACCCAAGTGAAGATGTGAACAACGAGAGAGAGGCCTGTCATTGATGCATCACGCATCCATGTATGTTTGCCCAAACAAAATCTGTGGTATTCAGAGGTATTATGTACGCCTGCACATTTTGTAGATGCATACAAAATAATTGTATGCACTCTTCACTCGACATGGAAATGTATAACATGGATGTGCAACTTGCTGAGTGGACGACATTCAATGAGTGGTTACTTCAGAATCTGATCGGCTGTGGATGCTTTGAGCATCTCATTAGTGGCTTGTCTTAAACGTCACTGCATTCAAAGTTGGCTTGCAGTCCCTGACCCTTATCTGTATTCAAACCATCAATCGCATCGCCCTGCGTTCTGTTTGACAGGCACCTCCTCTTGCTCCGGGGAGGCCCTTTCTGGACCTGCAGGGCAGGTTCCACAGTGTTACAAGACCTTGCCTTTCCGATGGATTCCCCTCTCACCACGATTTGGTTGCGAAGCCTTTAAATGAGTGTGGCCAGTATATGGCTCCCACAACCTTCCATTTGTTCACTCCCCAACGCCTCATTCCCAAATCTCTGAAGTTCCGGATCTCCAAACAGTCCCAGTGGTCATCCCAACTACCAATCTGTCCCGCCTGGAGGAACTGCCCACAGTGCCCCCAGCCTCAGCATCGACGGATGTCAGCATCGCATTAATGATCGAATGTGATTGAGCCAAAATTGAATCATGATCATCATTTGGTTATATAAAATCATGTTATTGAGTGAAGAATTGTCGTCGGAAGAATGGTGTTTTTAATATTCTGCTTCCCAGAGCCACAAGACATTGACTTCTCATCCTTTTTTCCAGGTAGATGCACACCCTGATTATATCCTTTCTTGGGTCATCTCTGGAAATACTGTGTGCTTTGTGGATCTCTTCCAGGCTGTCCCACAAGGGCATTGAACAAGAAGAAACACTATATATACCAAAATCGACACCACATAAATCTGTCTTACACGCTCTTCTCCATGTCCTCCTTCACGAAAACCGGCACTTCTCGACCTCGACCAAAGGGCTCATCTGAGAAGATCTCGCAACGAGCCGTCGGCAGCACTTCGCTGGTGCCTCGCGAAGTCAAACGAGGAAAACCACAAATACCACCTGTCGATTGTTGTACTTAAAAAAAATACAACCTAGCAGCTATATACTTCTATAATCTTCTATATGTGCTCCCTCGATATGCGCGTCTCAAATCATGTCAAGAAGGTGTTATGGTAGAAAAACATATATATATATTATATTATATTATAGTATATTTTCTATTGTATGAAGTGGCTTTTGAATTGAAACAATTGCTTTCTGGCGGAGGCAGTATCTCCTAACATGGCCCGACAAAGAAGGGACGGCGGCCGACATGTCTCCCAATGACTCCGATCTTTGTTCGGTGCAGGATTTCCAAGACCCCAACAAACACCCATGTTCGATGGCAGTTTCATTTGAGGTGGGAATACCTGTTGAAGGACTCCTCTGCTCATTTTCACTCAAAAAGAAATGTGACAGTAGTAGACTCAAGGGCGCAAAGTTGATAAAAGATGCTAGAGGAAAGATGAGGAAAGTTATATTCCAAAATATTCCTAACTAGCTCTTCCACTTCCATGAATTGCATTTGGCTGAAGGCGACAGAACAAACATGCTGCCGCCAGCACCGTCATACATTCCTTGCCTTTCACTGTGAGCCGCCAGCGCCGCCGCTGGTCCTGTAACATTCCACCCCAAGCCCAATCGGCTCAATCTTTGTAATGGGCCTGTGGTCACAACTTGTACAGGCTCCTTCAGGCTTTTTGCTTGGGCATCAGGGAAGCTGATTACGACAGTTTGACAACTCTACTGGGCTTGAACACTTTGTTGTGGACCTTGTGCAAGTTGGAGTCTTCATTGAAAAAAAGTTATCATGAAGAAGTAGCCAGAAATGGGACAAAGTTGCATGACTTGATGGAGACATGGACGCACCTCAATGAACAAAACACCCTGAATGAATACCCCATCAAGTTCCATCAAGATGTTCAGATGTCATTTTTGCATCGGCACGCTCACTTCGTTCAGCTGCCCCTCCGCTTGATCACCAGGAAGACAATAGCAGCGACCAGCCCCAACACAAAGATGGTGCTCACGATGAAGACCCAAGCACCTGGAAGGGACCCCAAAATCCGGATGCTTCTGCCATAGGGCCGTTGATGGTAGACCAGTGTATTACCCCGCCGAAGGTGTGCAAGGTCGCTGGGTTTGCTCTCTCTCTCTCTCTATATATATATATACATATATTTATATAATATATTACAATATATTATAATATATTATAGTATAATATACAACTATGTTCACTCAATTTCACGCATATCATTCTTAAAGCTTCAGAAAAGAAACCCCCGAATGCAGGTAGAAGCAAAGGCAATCCTATCTGGTATTTCACCGCTTCAGAGTGCATTTGCATTTGACCCCCTGGCCTGTGCGGCAGTAGCCAAGCTGTGAAACTGACAATTGTGCCCTGAGACTGTCCATGTCTCGAACTTTCTGAAATCTGGGCGCAGTGGCGCACACGTCGAGGAAACTGGGACAATGACACCCCTCGCCCTTCTCGCCGGCAAGATGCTTTTCCACAAATGCACAACCAATACCGTAGGACCAACCATCAGGGATGCCTTTAAAACTGTCGGGGCAAGCCCCTCCGGAGAGGCCCCTCACAACTGCCTTTGCTTGGTTGACGACATCTGCCTTCCCGACGGCATCTTTGATCTCGTCTAACCCTGGGATGAAATGCTCCGGCTGCAGTTCCTCCTTGCTCTGATTGCTGCGCATGCCGGCAATGCCTTCAACCGCGAAGAGAACCAGGATCGGTCGCATCATAAGGAACATGTTTTTCAAACAAAACTGAGATAGGCAGTCGCTGCTTGAGCTCAAAAGGCTCAGCTGCGGAGAACATTGTCACATGCAAAATGACTTCGACTGCAAGGCTTCGGCCCAGTGAAGAAGACTTCGAAGCAGGTCAATCCAGCAAATAGAACACTTTGTGTCTTGGTGACGCTGCCTGAGCCTGATGGACAAGCACCTTATGCATGGATACATAGAGACAAGTGTGTTGTTGAGAGAGGTGGTCTAGCGACTGTATTCACTTGAGACTCCTCCTCCGATCATTTCCCTCACTTCTCTGAGCTCAAGAAGCGGCTTGGTTCCAGGAAATTACACACGCCCCCAAGGGAGGCTCCTCGCCGATACCTTCCGCAATTTTCAGTACTTCGACCATCCGCACCTGAAAAAGCATCGCCCACTGAGCGAGAACGCGACGTTGCTAGATCTTTTAACAGATTAGAAGAATGGATACACTGACACCCCGCCTGATGTCAAGACCCTCTGGAACTTGCAATGTTACTTGAGACCCTCTTCAGGGTCACTGGGTCTCGCACTTGAGGGTCCAAGATGACCTCCACCTGAAATCGCTGTGAATGTCATAATGTGGATGTTCATGCTCCAGTTCTCGGACGTCAATTCGAAGCCGGCTCCACTTGAAAGTCACTGCCGGTCACTGCCACCAGTGCTGGACTTGTTTGAACTCTTTGAACCGACTTCTTTGCTGCAAGATCAAAGACTGTGCTGGGTGCTCAAGGCAAATCCCTTTCCTCCATCCTAGTTGTCCTAGTCTATGCCACACGGCGCCCAATATCCAGCTACGTTGGGATTGTGGCTCGTAGCCCAAAAACGGATTCAGCCAAACCAAAAATCAAACTGATCAACGACTTGTTGGTAAACCTTTTCTGCAAATGAACATCCAAGCACAAGTACGATGCTTTTGACTCAATTCCACAGATCTTCCCACCAGCAGGTTGAGGGACCAAACTTCCACAGCCAAAGGTGGAAGCTCCTCGGCCTTCTGTGGCAGAACTTCTTCCTCCTGAGGCCGGTGGAGGACGGTCACGGAGTCATGAGAGGAACGGTCACTGTCGGACACGGATGTCCCGAGAACATGGTGAGCTGTGTCAAAAGCAAAGTGAATGATCCTTAGGACGCTACTAGGGGCTCCTGGCATCGCTACTAGGAACAAGAGCCTTACTATTAGTAACAAGAAGCTAGTAGAAACAAGAAGCTACTAGTAACAAGTGCCACGCTAGTAGTAACAGGTGCCTTACTACTAATAACAAGAAGCTAGTAACTAGTAGAAACAAGACTTAGCAATTAGAATGATCTCCTCCAAGTTTCGACTTTCTGAGCCAAAAGAACACCTCAAAGGCTCATTAAAAAACCGTTTTTGTTGACCGACAGAACAAAAAAAGCACCTGTCCAACGGCATCTTCCGACCGCTCTCGACGTCTGAAGGACCGCTTCGGATGCGTGGAGAACGCCTTCGTGTTCAAACATGGGCACCCGTCTAAACGAAGAAATGGCCTTCCCTCAAGCATCAATAAAAGCTAGTAGTAACAAGTGCATCGCTTCTAGTAACAAGTGCCTTACTAGTAGTAACAAGAAGCTATAATCTATTTAATTAAAACTACTCTGAAATCATTTGATAGGCTATAGATGGCTATAGATGGCTATAGGGTATATGAATCGCTCCAACTTCTCCTCGTTTTGCCAAAGGTTTTGTGGCCGTTCCACGCCCAAAGGCGCATGGGCCTCAGGTGCCATGTCGGATGCTCACCAGCTGGGTAAAATAATCATCATGTCACTTATGTTTGGGTAGGGACTGATTTCAGGAGTTAGAAAGATTTAACTTCAGATCAAGTGTTTTCCATCAATCCTTGGTCCAACATAGGGTGCTAAAAGAATTACAGTACATCAAGAGTTAATTATGTTGAATCTTGCTAGCTCACATGTAGTGATCTGAAGAATTACTATAAATGTGGACTTAATTCTTTTGCAATGTGGTTTCATTGACCATTGCTTGGGACAAGGAGAAGAAGAATTAACTCTGGATTTCATTCTTTTCACAGTCTGTTTAAAGTCCTCTTGAGGGACAAGGAAACTAGACAGGTTTACATCAGGGAGAGAACACTGGTGACACCATAGTTTGGGGCACAGAGAAAATGTATATTCTCGATATAATGCTGTTCAAAGTCTGGTTTAAATTCCTCTTGGGAGACTAGGAAACTAGCAAGGTTTACACCAGAGAATGTACAGTGTCTCAGTGACACTACTATAGTTTGGGACACAAAGAATACGCATTAACTCGGGAATTAATCCTTTTACTAGTCTGTTTAAAATCCTCTTGGGACACTAGGAAACTAGAAAGGTTTACACCAAAAAAACGTGTCTCAGTGACACTACTATAGTTTGGGACACAAAGAATACGAATTAACTCTGGATTTAATCCTTTTACTAAGTTACTAGTCTGTTTAAAATCCTCTTTGGAGACTAGGAAACTAGAAAGGTTTACACCAAAGAAAGAACAGTGTCTTAGTAACACTTCGGGACACAGAGAAACAGAATGATCTCTGGATTTAATTCTGTTACAAGTCTGTTTAAAACCCTCTTGGGAGACTAGGAAACTACACAGGTTTACACCAGGGAGAGGACGCTGGCTCAGTGACACTGTAGTTTGGGACACAGAGAACAAGAAGTAACTCTGGGTTAAATTGTTTAAAATCCTCTTGGGAGACTAGGAAAGCACACAGGTTTACACTAGCGAGAGAACAGTGTCTCAGTGACACTAACTATAGTTTGGGACGCAAAGAATACAATTAGCTTTGGAATAGCTCTGTATCTAATTCCTTTACACGTATGTTTAAAGTCCTGTTGGGAGACTAGGAAAGTAGACAAGTCCATGCTGCAGCAACGACGTCCCATGAAAAGATATCTGGAGTTAATTCCTCAAGCGACCATACCAGAAATGAACAGATTTAAATCAGGAGTTGATTCTTCGAATGATACCAGAACTGAAAAGAATTAGAGTTAATTATGTTTAACTCTGGAAAGTACTCCTTTTCTTTACGTTTGTGTAAAAGGGTTCCAAGTTGTTGATATTCTTACGTGGCAGTCCGAGGCACCTCAGGTGTGAGCTCGCATTTGCAAAAGAAGCAAGCTTGGAACAGCTCAACTTTGATGTACAAGCCTCCTCAATCCATTGTTATGTGCAGAAAGGCTATCTAAGTGCCCAGCCACCGCCAAGCGAAGCCCAGGTTTGGCATGCCCCAATTCCTGTGTGATGTGGGACATGGAGCGCCGCAGGAAACAAAAACACCAACTGACATCGAAAGACCGCAGTCAACCATGTCACCATGTCAATCAAACAGCCTGCCTTCGACTCTTTTTGCAGTGTTGGAGGCGGGGGTATAATATGACGCGGAAACAGCCCTCGGCCAAGCAAGATCAGAATGATCCATAAATCCAAATGATATATATATATATATATGCTACCCCCCCCAAAAGTCCACATTTTTTCGGCTTGCACTAGTATTTACAGTGGTTTGATGATATTTTGGCATTCATTTTTTGGGGGTACATTTTGAGGATTTTTTTTGTCTGGTCTGTTGAATTGCATGTCACCGTATTGTGCATTGGGCGATAGGAATCTTGAGATAAGTTGTTCATTTGGGAACTAGCAGCCAGAGTTTTGCAAAAGTTTGGTATTTGGATTTAACCTTATGATTTTGGAGGTGCCAACCAGAATGCCTCTTTGTTGAATGTTTCCCAGCAAGCAGAAGGGATCTTGGAGATATAGTTGTTCATGTGGGGCCTATCATGCCTTGAAGATGGGGGGAAGTTGCAGAAAGTTTTTTTGTTGAGTGATGCTGTGTGAAGATTTTCCAGCAACCTGGGATATGCATGGCAAGGGCCTTTTTGTTCAGCACAGATGCGGTCACGGCTGGGCAACAATTCCTGACATGTGGTCCTGCACGAGATCCCCGGTGCATTTCCACATATCAGACCCACGGTACCAGTACTCGTACTGGGCCGCCCGGATTTTGAAATGCAAACGCTTCAGGCCTGCACGGGAGTGGGTGCCTTTACACACACGCTCCTTGATAAACTTCCAACACCGGTCAATGTGTTGAGTGCCTGCCTTTACTTTAATTTTCTTGCCTCCTGGCAATGTATGCGTCACAACCTTGAAATGAAGTCAGTATCTACCAGCTTGTATATACAGGCTTGAAGTCAAAACAAGAACTGGTCTCACGCAAAGAAGGCGGTCTATTTTTTACCCTCAGGAAGACAATGCAGCAGTGAAGACCTACAGACAGTGCCTCTCACTTTGCACCCTGCAACTGGGCTACCTGGGCGGACAAATGAGCAATCATGCGATCTTTCTGTTCAATCTCTGCCTTCTTCTCCTGCAACTGCTGCTCGATATCATCACAATGTTTTTCAAGCCTCTGCAGAGACTGACCAAGGTCATCAAAGTCAAAGGACATCTGCTTGAACTTTGGATGCTTGAAGACAGCTGCTTCGAGCCAGTCCCCTAGTCTCCCCTGAGACAGAATCCTCCTGGTTCGCATCGCCACCCTTGACTTCCACACACGCACCCACCTCATCCTCAACATCTTCCATCTCAGACTCCTCACCCTCAGACTCCTCACCCTTCACATCCTCATCATCAGCCACACCACCCTTGATCTCTGCATCCTCCGCCGTCCCAGTCCCCGAAGAATCGGAAGATGACTCCGAGGAAGACGTAGAAGAAGAGCCAGAATGATGTTGATTGCAGATGGCCTTAGGCATGCGATGCGGTCTACCCATGGGAGGTTGAGTGGAAACTATGCAAAGACGACAAAAACACTTTTTTAGATGAGTTGAGGTGCTTGTTGAGGTGTTTGTGGATGAACAGGAGGCAATGCAAGTGCTGATGCTTGTCCCCCTCCACGGCAGCGTTTCGGAGACGCCAAGATGCGGATGAGGGTGTCTTCAGCTTTTGGGTTCCATGCTCCCTTGAGGCCAGTAGGCTTCAAGTCGGCAGTCCGCTGAATATTGTGAATCAAAGTTCCCAAAGTGGTTCTGTCCAACGGTTGCCGAGTGGGATGCACACCAATTTCTCCGGTGCTAATGCGATCCCACAAGGCTTTCATGTCGAGCAGGTATGTCACTGGGTCCTTCAAATTAAGGACCAGGTTCGCCTTGTCATTGGAGACCGTGACTTCCCCAGACACATGGAATGCCATGAAGCCGGTTTTTGGATGCAAAAATGCCTTTGAGATTAACCGGCTGCTCCAGAAACGGTGAAGACTTCAATACTTAGAGAATTCCAGAAAATTTTAAAATATTTTAAAATTTTCTAAGAAGTAAGAAGTAAGATTGCACAGAACTCTCCTAGAGAATCTTACTTCTTGCTTCTTACTTCTGAGAAAATTTTAAAATATTTTAAGTTTTTCTCTAAGTACTGGAAAGTTTACGTCCGCCATTTCCGACTAGTGCTGAAATCTTAGGATTTTAGGATTATATATATATATATGGTACCCCCACAATCCCTGCAAATACCAGTAAAATTTTAAAAAATATGGACATTTGGGGGGGGTACCATATATATATATATATATAGCTCAACTAGGGTCTGTGATGCAGGTTCTCTGTCGTACTTGCATTTGATGAGGAAGCCAACTACAAAAGGGGTCCAGGTGTTTGAAGAACTCGATACAAAGAATGAGCCCTCTCCTTATTGACCGCAGATGTCCGCTTGAACAGACCGAAGTCTATGGGCACCGAGGCTCGGTGGTCGCTTGCATCATCGACCTAATATGACCGTATTAGGCACCTTTCCCTGCATCAAAAAGCGCCAAACGCATCCAAAAGCAACTAGCTCCTCTGTAAAGAATTCCATCTCAATCTTAGACCTATCCCGTGGCCTCTTCGGTGTTGAGGTTTGAACAATATTCAGCTGTAATCACTGTATATAACCTTTTGGACCCTGCTGCCCTTTCGGCTTTTTTGCAATGCCCTTCAGTTGTGACCCCCCATAGGCGTCTCTCCTGTTCGTCCGCGTCCGGCCTTCAGTTGGTCAAAGAGCCGCAAGAATCGTGGCTCAAAGAGGCTGAAGTTCCTCACCTCGTCTGGTGGGGGCCGGGGCACTCTCAGAGCCTGGTGACATCAGAATGGAAGAGGCTGGAGGGCTATGGAGGGCTGGAATTTCATTTTTCAGGAAACCTAGGGAGCCAAGTGGCCATAATGAAGCCACCCCAAGACAAAAAACGGAACCTGCTTGGTTCTGTCATTAACCGTCATTAAACAATGTTTGCATGTTCTTGCATTCTGTACTAATTATTTCCCCAAATCCCATGAGTAAAATTGAAGAGCTCACCAACAAATGGTGTTTGCAGGGTTTCCATGTACAGTATTTCCCAAGTGGAAACAAATCTCACTTTCCTGCGCGCACAGCGCGGCATCTTGCGCCTCGTCATTGGATAAGGGACGTCTCACGGTGAAAAGCGGATGCCAAAAGGACGGAGCCTCCATCGGCCTCGCGAGCCATGCTCCACGTGGCTGACTGTTTGAGCTGTGTAGAAACATGTAGCTGACTTCTTATGTGGTACTGGCCTGCAAGTATGAATAGGGGAATGAGATGGGATGAGAACCCTTAAGACTAATTTGTGTCTCTACCTTCTGGGGTTGCTTAGACATGTAATAGTGTTGAATTTAACGCACCAAAAACTAAAGGCTTCCTCAGCAAACAAACACCTCAGTCTCGTATCGATTCTGTGAACATTGGCTGGCATGATGGCATTGAGAAAACAGTGATGTCTAAATGAATAGCAGTACTCAGTACCCACACTGGCATGAGTGGCAAACGGAATGGCTCGCAAATCGATTAAATCGTTTGAGGAGTGATCTTACAATTTTGGTGAACAGATTGACAAAACAGTGCTTCTTTGTTCAAAATTGAAAACAGAACTGCCTTGAAGGTTTTTCTCGGACGCACTTGAGAGTTGCTCAAACCCTTCGCAAGTTCCTTTCGCAACACTTTCGCGACTTGCGTGTTGGCTTTCCCGCGCCCTATTTTGCCCAAAACCACCGGCGCAAGCTTTCGCGGACAGAGTTGATATACCGGAAGAACCACAACATGTTAGCAAAGGCATCTAAAAGAAGTACACATTTGTTTTGTCAAAAAGAGGCTTTCGCAAGCTTTCGCGCGTAAAATCTTCACAAAGTCTTTCGCGACTGTGTATTTACCTCTCGCGAAGGTTTTTACATTCACATCTAGACATCTCTTCAAACTATTATATGCTTACTTGGGAGGCTTTGGCCACTGATCAGTTGGAGTCCAAGATTTCTCCCGCGTCTTCACCTTACGTTTCACCTGCCTTGCCCTGCCTGCTCCGGAACTCCAGCTGACGAATCGGGTTCCAGCCCACGTCGGGGCCTCGCGGAGGCTTGGATTCCAGCCCCAGGAAATTGGAACTTTGAGACTTGGATCCTCTTCCGGACGGATGTTGGACCTCGCAAAGAAAACGATTTACCCCCCCATCCAGCAGAACCGAGAACGACACATAGTTCGGCCAGGAGCCAGGCGCCGGGTTCAGCATTCGGCTGACCAAACAGCATGCTTTCCGTGATTAATGCCTATAAAAACTAAATCTCTTCACAAAATGTACAAAACAGGGTACAAGAAGGGTGGGGCAAACACAGGCAAACTAATTGAGGAGGTTATATATTGGGCACCCACTTCTGGAAAATGTGGTAGAAGGTCTTAGAAGGGCGGATAGTATATTGCAGGAAAGAGTTGGGGCAAACTCATAGGCCGGGGGTCGTTAATCATGCGTTTACAGTTGTCACTTCTTGCAATACCATGGAGTAACGGCCATGTCCTGCCGGACTGGCATGCTTCTTACCTGTATGTAAATATCTATAATAAATAACATATAGTCACTACACTAGTGCTCTCACTTTAGTCCCTCTGCCATTCTGTCAAGAGCTTCCTGCAAGGGAAGTCTTTACAGATTCTCTTTACCTTGGTCATCCGACCCTCAGACGAGAGATTGTCAAGATGCAAAGTAGGCTTGACAGCTTGAAATTCCTGACAAGCTCTCATCTGCCCTTGTCAAAATCCAACAAACTTATCCCTTGAATCTTGGATGATCTTGAAGGATTCTGCCGGTTTGGAGACCAGTACCCCTTCCGCGGCACCTTCAGCTTGGGGGGGCTTGCTCAAGCTGCTCGGCCTGCTCAGCCTGTGCGAGGACCTCACAGATTGATCGGTCACCCTGGCTGTTGTGGAGCACTTGGGCATGGTACTACACCCGACTTCTGCTGCAACACTCCCTTCCAAGTCCTGACGCCTGCGTATCCTCAAACGCCAACCTTGACATAGCCGCTACACATTAGTGAGGCACTCAGTAACCGTTCAGAGTAGATACATTGTATATCATTGTATTATAATACAATGTGTTTGGTAGTTGCTACACCATTGATACCTTGCTCGTTACCTCGCTCGTCTGCCAGACCAGTGGTCCATCCATTCGATGTCCATCGATGCCGTCCACCGCCTCGGGCGGCAAGACTTGCGTGCCGTCCGGCTTGGGCTCGGCAGCCTGGGTGTCGGAGCGTGGTCATGGCTTCTTTTCTAGATGGACCGGGTCGTCTCCGTCAAGCTTCAATACTGTTGATTCACTTCCAAAATAGAAACCGTCAATGTCAGATCAAGTCAAAATGGAATGCTCAGACACGATGGGAGCTGTTACATGTTTCATACTTGAAAAGAGTGCATCAAACGGACCGTCTTGTGAGACAGGGGGTTGGTCATGAGGCAGAAAGGTGAGGACCTCTGCCTCGAGGCGTTGACATTTGGGCCACAACAAAAACTCTGAAGTCCCAAAGTGCTTCGAAGCATTAACCGCAACATTTCACCTTTGAACACGTCAAACCAAATAAGCACAGCATATGCATATGCACAACATCTCTAAGCCGTTCACCGTTGCTGCCCAAGAGCTCTTGAGCCACCTGGGCAGGATCAGCAAACTCCAAGAAAATGTCCTTTGTTGGTCAGTTTAGCTTCATTAATGGGCAAGACAAGAGGGACCATACACCTACAAGTTCTGCAAACGGGTTCCTCACTTAGACGCACACTCACTGACAGTACATCCTCCTGAGTCTACCCTCTGAAGAGTATTGGTAAACTCCCATGCCCACCCACCACGTACAGCACCCGACTTGCTGATCGCCGCCACACTTTTTGCCAAACTTGTGTTTTGAACAGGCCGGACATCGCCTGCAATGGACCAATCCGCTCACCTTTGCACAAGATCAACGAATTGCAACATGCCAGCCATCAATGTTTGCATGTGTTTGCACCTGATCCCATGTTTTCAGACAACAAAAAACTAAAACATCAACCACCAGCAGGCCTAGACCTTGCAGCGGCATCAAAGACTTTGTGGACTTTAACCCAATTCAGTTAACTTTTAAGGAACTCCATCATCGGCACATGCTATGGGAACCCCAAGGCTCCAACGAGCCTCATGGTTCCCTGCTTACAAGTCTGCTTACAAGTCATGATTGTCGGATCCTCAAACTCGACTGCCTGACCACAGAATATGACTCTGCTTGGCTGGGATCGGCTTGGGATCCATGTTCAAGTTCTTATCAGGCCGTAAGAAGGGTATCTCATGGTATCTCCCAGTGAGTGTCATTGAGTGTCAACCAGGTCAGCCAATCATTTATCGCACCTTCTGGTTCTCCATCAGGTCAGCCACTTGCAAAAGCCTGGCTGCTTGCAGGGGGGAAAAGATTGACAGTGCAAAGTGGGAATGGTGGTAATCTAACTGACGAACGTGCTGTATGAATACCCGGACACTTTTCAGGGTGGCTTTGCTCGAAAATGTCTGATGTACAGTATGTCTGATCATAAGCTGTGTTCGGAATGAGGGAACAAAATCTTGGAACAATCCTGTGATCGGGGCTTTTCTCTAGCGCCTTGCTCTCTAGCGCCAACACGCTCAGCCCTGCGCCCGCACCTTGCAGCCATATGCAAGTCTCTGGACTCCAAGAAAGATAGCATGTAGGAGCTTCCCATGATCTGGTGCCGTTCGACGAGCCGAGCGACGCACTTTGTGGCCCCAGAAGGGTATTTTGCGTCAGATACTGAACTGCACCCGCGTCCAAAAATGGTGTTGGCTTCTATAGTTGCTATTCGACGATGAATGCACTATTGTAGGGCATCCCAGGTGGTGCACAATTTTTGGAACGGCATGAGACCTTCGACTAGTGAGTGTCCGGTTTGCTTTCCCTACTCTACAGTACTCCACAGAAAACACTTGGAAGGTCTCCTGAATATGTTGGAAAGTATCTTGGCCTACAATCAACAAACCAAATATTGATATATATTATCTATTGTTATATATACACAATGTTTGTGTTGCAATCAGTCTTGGGATGAGGCCATTCTAACAGCACTGATCTTTATGGATGCTGTTATCTGCACTATTTTGTAGGAGTAAAGAGTAAGCAGCATGAACAAACACGCACAAAAACTGTACGTGCGGTGAAGAGAAACAGGAGAAGACCTTCCGCTCATTACCTGACATGGTTTGATGAGTTTGCCAACACCTACTACTTGCACACCTGTCATTTCTGCACATTGAAGCCCTACAATTCTCTCTCTCTCTCTCTCTCCCTCTGACAAAGGCGTACTCAAAAAGCTGAAACATCACTGAACAGCTGGTATCTTGGGCATGTGACGATGGCACGTTCTATGTTTTTCATCCCCCTGTGAGTTAGCCAGGATAGGTTGTGCTAAGCATTCTGTAGTTATAACACGAAAAATGGTTCTCCAGAGGCCTACAGAATCACAAACTGGTAACCACCGAGTCTCTACAAGACGCCACGCACAAGGGCATTTAGGGACAGGGACACACTCTACAAAATGGGAAGGTTCTGAAAGGGGATAGAAAAAAGATGATAAAATTATGTAAAAATAACAAAAACGGTCCCTGATACATTCTATAGAGGGTACCAGTTTTGCAAGTCAGGTAGAATGCAAATTGGCAAATATGAACATGACGACCCACTTTCTATAGTGTCATTTTGTAGAGCCAGCGAGCCAACTCAACACTGGCTGAAACTACCAAGACTTTGGAAAGGGAGACACCAGAAACGTCACATACCACCACTACCACTAGCAGACATGGCAAACTGGGCAAACGGGTGCGGAACAAGCACTAGCAGAACTGGGTAACTTCAGCACTAGCTATATATAACAGACCATTCTTGGCAAGATTGGTGTTTTCGAGTGTGTCATTTTGCCGGTCTTGCGCGCATACCGTGTACATAAAAACACCACAACAATCCTGCATCCCCCTGAAAGATCCTCCTGCACTACTTTCTCTACAAAATGCAAAGGTTTCTACAAGATGCAAACCGGCGAGTTCAAATCCAGCTAAAATGGGAATGACTCGGAATGACCACATTTGTCTACAGAATCACAAGTCTGCTATTCAGCATTATTCTGGGTGCGCTCGTTTTTCCCCTCTACAAAATGCCAACCCTGGAAATGCAGGATACGTTGTTGTAGCAAAAAATAGCCTTATTCCAGTGGTCAACCCGTCCCATTCTGTAGTGAAAACATGCAGGATGATGTTTTTCCCCAACGTCAAAAAAATCCTAAACTGGTGAGTAGTCATGAGTAGTCTTTGCACATCAAACACTTTCCAACACCACGAACTGTGAAGCCGACAACTTTCGGGCATTGGGGAGCTCACCAGCGCAACGACAAGACCAAAGAGGGCAATGGCCTGAGCGTCTGAAGACGGCCACGCGCACATTCGATATGCTATTCATAAAACTGGCATATATGCCCACACTATCTCACACTCACACCCCTTGTACTGGCTCGTGTGCTCATCCAAACGAAGAAAAGCATATCCTCTGCTGATTTGCTTGTTCCCTACAGTAAACACCAAGTCAGCACCAGGTCTGTGTGCTCACGCTAACTCCTTGAGATTGTGGTGGGGAGTGGTATAGTCTATGTATACTATACACAATTTGAGGGAAACACAAGAGAATCGGTACAAGACACAAGGTCCACGAACCAAACTCATTTGGCTCTTTTAATAACCATCTAGGAGTCCATGGTGCTTGCCCTGAACATACCATTGAAGCAAGCTGTTTTGCTTGAAGAACGGCCGCACAGGTGCAAATGTCAAGAGGTAAATTATTATAATGGATTCAAGATAGTGAACGCCCCAGGACACTAAGTGGTGTCTACATTTGTCAATGCGGAATTAGGAAAGTTGGCGGTCAGCGCTTCAAACCCCTCACTCGGTGTCCGTCCCAAACCAAAGCAAGCTTGATACCTTGTCTTGATTTTCCTCTTCGGGTAGACCCCCGACCAGTCATCTTTGCTAGCTTTTGGGAGGCTCACTTACATTGCAAACAACATTGCATCCCTCGTGCCTTGTTCAACTGACAACAACGGTCAAGTCTTTCAGATTGCAGCCACACAATGTTCTGAAATCGATGGTATCAGGTGATGTGAATGGGACATTGTCCCCACCAAACATCCACATTACAGTGTTACAGCTTCCAAACCTCCTGACAGCATATGACTGCTAACACTAACAGTTGGCACTTCTTGTCAAGCGCCGAAGCTCATCAAGCAGATGTTCCCAAGCCCCAACAAAGCCAAGGTGTTGGTGGTACCAGTACCTCTGAGGTCACTTGTTCTACACCATCGACCTGCAGTCTGGCTATGGTACAAGCCGGGACTGGATTCACACCTAGCCTCCCTGACTCGATGAAGCCAGTAGGTCCTAGGTCTTTCCAACTAGGAGCAAGGACCCTACTAGGGGCTCCTGGCCTTACTACTAGGAACAAGAAGCTACTAGGGGCTCCTGCAGTGTTCTTGAAATTCCAACGGAACTGTTCGGTGGGGAGGGTGATCCACCAACCGCGCAATTCGTGCAGCCGCTGTGCCGGTTCCCTCGGTTCCGGTTCGGCCACCTGACCACATCTGCGAGACCTTGCAAATCCATGCGCTGAAGCCCTGGCGTTCGACCGGTCATTGAAAACAGGTCCCCACAGTTCGACCGGTGGTCACAGCTGATCAGGAATAAGGAACACTCCCTGCGGTTTAGAGCCTATATAAGATTGAAAATTGCAAAGGCTTCACGCACAACCATAATCAGCGGAGGATTTCAATGGAGGTGCTATGCCAGGTGTTCTAGCTTGTTCTAGTCCGCTTTGTAAGCCCAACAACTGCCAGGTGTTCTAGCCTTAGAGAGATGGATCCGCTTTGAAAACGCTTGTCCTTTACATTCCTTTACAAACCACAAGCTTTCACTTGGGGTTCATGGAGTGGGCCAGCTCAGGGGTGCTGTTGTTGCACACTGCCCAAAGCACGCCATTTGCACCTTCAATGTTCGTCTCCATGCCATTTCCTGAGGTGGGAGCGCTCTGAAGGGAGCTGAAGGGAGCTTATAGTAGCTCCAAACACACCAAGCTCCAACAGGGAATAAATAAAGGAGGAGTGACAGTGAGTGAACGTGGTTCAAAACATTTCAAAACGGGTTGGAAACACACAAAAAATGTGGGAGTCTTCATCATGTCACATGTCCATCCACTCTTCAAGACTTGGACGAAGCGATGCCCTGGCCAGATCATGACGTGCAAATCGCTGTATCCCCACGGCCCAAAAACTGATACGCACTCGTCCTCCGATGAGAAAGGACAAAGCGTTCACCACGACAAAGCCTGCTGCTGATCATCAAATCGTTCTTTGGTGCAGGATTGTATCATTGCATCTCTAATTCATCTGCTCTTGTAAAAGGAGATTCCAGGTTGAACTGGTTAAGCTGGGAGAAGTCTTCTCACTGTCAAAGACATGAGGAAGCGAACAGGTTGCTTTCTGCGAGGGCTTGTCCGAGAATCAAGGCTGCAATCAAAACACATGCGTCATTGAGGACAGGAACATCGAGAAATCAAGAGAAGCGGACAATTGACCTTTCTCCCCACGTACGTAGGGCAAGTGAAATGTGTCACACAATGAGTTGACTAATGTTGCTAAAATGTTAACAGAGCTTAATGCGCTTGGCCAATTGGAGCAGGGCTGAGCAGTAGAGCAAGTTGCTCAATGGGCGCCTACTGCTGTGGCTCGCGCCAAAGGAAGAGCACGCCAACCACCATCCGCCAAGAGCGCCATAGGCATTGCTGGCAGGTGACCGATGAACATTGTGCTCTTCCAGATGGAAAAAACAAAACAAACACCAAGCAAGTCTATTCGAGTCTGTTCAATGATCAATTCTTTCTTCTGTGATGTCTTCCCTTTCCAAGCTGATCATTGGCCCACCCCGATGGCTGGACCGTGCGGTGGCACCTATGCCTGTGGCATTCGCTGCATGGCCGCCGTAAGCTGGCCGGATCTCGGGTCGTGGCCACCAGTCAGTCTCCGGTCAACACAGACCGCAGGGCAATTGAAAGGACCAATAATTGCATCATGTAGCTACAGTAGCAGCAAAATCAGGCAAAAACCACATGGATGCAAGCAATAAGAATTGCTGTGGTCAAATAGATCTTGGGGTCCATCTATCGGCTTTATGTCTTCGCGTGCTCTTTTGAGCTATTTCTGTCACTGCAACAAAATCTGAGGCACCGAACACCAGTAGTTAGATTGCCAGAATTGAGGAAATGCCTACATAATCCTACATATTCCCACCTACAGTAGTACAGCTATGCAAGAAGTATTGCTTGTGGTTGTCATCTTTGCAAAAACTGCACCGCAGGGCTGAGCCTCCGACAAAGCCTCCCAAAGCGCGGAAAAAAGCAGTGCTTCCAGCTGCCTTGGTAGATAGACAACCTTTTCTGAGGGAATGATGGTCAACAGGCAACTTAAATGGTCAATTGAAGTACATAGTGCTGTCGTTTTCACAAACCATAGAGAATAATCCTTGCTCCGGGAAGACTTGTGAAACCGTTTTTGCAGACAAACCCATCGGCGCAGGAGTCCGGTAGGATTCAGGTCTTGGCATGCAACCGGGCACTTCCTGGCAATATGCATTCCCTCAGCACCTGGTCTTTGCTTGGACGTTTCATGAAATGTCCCAAGAGGACATCAACACAATGGTCCCAAGCAGGATGACACTCCGTCAAATCCAACTTCTGACACCCCTTGTGGCACGAAGAAAAGTGCTTCTGCTCTTTCAAAGCCTTTCTTCTACATCCATCAAGGACAAACCCAGCATTGGCCCAGCCGACCGGAACGTTGGTCCAGAACATCGTGTGAAGCTGGACACGCAGAAAAGAAGTGTCGAACACCCTCCGGTGAAGGGCCAGCTGGCTGGATTCAGGTCAAAGTTCCCTTCCCTCCCAATCAAATGGTCTGGGCACCAAAACTATGGCAAAATCCCAAGCCACATCCCACTGGGCTGCTCTGACAATGTGCTGGAAAGGCTGTGTGAAGCCCTGACGAATCGCCTGCACCAAACCTCATTGTACAGCCAGGTGGCGGTGTTTCAGTGGCGGCCTGGGTACGGTACAAAATGGTTCATCTTCTAAGGGGAGCTATTCATTCAGGGAAGGGATTAGCACGGGTATAGGGTGGATCTAGCTTGCAGTGAAGGTGGGATACAAGTCTGCGGTTGACTCAGGTGTCTAATTCTAGTTTCTAAATGTTTCTAATACTATATCTGACACCGAAAGACCAAGATTAGATTCGGGCATTCGTCGCACTTGCTGCACTCATTCATGCTGACGCTGATTGATCTGATTCCTCCGTTGGCCCGACCGGTGCCCGACCGGGTTCCCATTGATCAACTCGACTGGGGTGCCCCAACTGTCCAAAGCGTTGGTGATTTGCAAATCCCCCGGCACCACCTGGCAATGCACACACAACGAAGCGGACAGTGTGGGGCACACCGAACAAACCCCTGCGTGTTTTCACTGCAGCGATGTAAAAAAAGAAGTGGCGCAAATGTTGGCTGCAAAGTGTTGTGAAGAATTCAGAACCATAGGGTGAAAGTCATAACACCATAGGTTACACCCTGATGTAAATCATAGGGTGAAAGTCATGCCATCTGCTCCAGCCGCTTCCGGACCTTTTTGGAGGCCCTGTCCTTCCTCGTATTAGGCTGCTTACTTCAGCTGCGATGCTGCACTCTGGGACACGCACGCGTTGTGGAGCAACAGGCATGTGACTGTGCGTATCTTGTAATTACATGACAGTCAGTTACTAAGTACCGCCACATAAAATTGCACTACGTCAATGGATTGTATACACCGACCAGCAAGAACCACAATGGTTATGCTCACATGAACTCCAATCGAATAAGTTAAAACTATATCATATATCTACAATAGAGATACATACAAAAACACACGCAAGTAAGCAAGCAACGTTAGAATACAAGTATAGGGAAATCGCTTTTAGAAGGACTTTTGGTCCGAGGATGTTTGAACCTGGTAAGCCATCCCCCAACCCCGCCGGGCAAAGGACAAATGGCCAAAATAGTTATTCCTGGTGATTTCTGAGCCAGCCCATTCATTTGCGCCATTTGGTTCTTTCCCATAATCACGGGACCCCAGAGTACCCCAGACCCACTGCTGATGGACACCAACCTGCACCACCTAGCACCCACACTGCTCATCCGATGCTCACGCTTCTACCAAAAAGGCAGGAGTTCGTCCAACAGGGGTTCCATCAACACTGACTCGCTGCGGTTTGGACCTTTCGAGTCCCAACTCAGAAAGCCTTGCTCCGCTTGGTCGTTTCGAGCGAGTCCGTGTTTTGTCCACTCCAATGTGTGCCACGGGGGACGATGGCACCCTGCGACTCGGCGGCCAGGAAGGCCTCCAGACTTGACGGAGCGGACGGAGAGCGGTCTGGACGATTGGAGGACCGTTGGAATGGAGTGTTCATGATGTCTGACAATGTAGAATAATGTATATAGATGGTTTTCGGGTTCTTTTGCTGCAGTCGCCTGCTTCCTGAGGTTGGACAATTTGGATTTGGTGTAAGGAGACAATATGAAGTATTAGGAACGTACGTGAAAGGGCTAATAGAAGCTCATTGCCTAGATACATGTCATTACTAGTAAGCTCCCCTTGCCCTAGAGAAGGTCGGAGAAGGTGCTTCTCATCTCTTTGCATTGCGGGACCAGTGCCCATGAATGCCGGCTGGGTATCTCTTTCATCGTTGTGCGCTCTCTCATAGCTTTCGCAAAGAAACCTTTCGTTGGGGGGTGTCCTGGGGTCATGAGAGTGCACTCTTTTGCAATTGGACTAACAAGCGAAAACATGCGAAAACTCCTGGCATACATGGACCCTTTGACCATGGTGGACTACTTGCTCTGCGGTTCCAGAGCTTTTCGTCCGCCTTTCCCCAAAACGACTCGGTCGAATTCGGTCGATCACCTGTTCATTCTCGATCATGCCTCGTAAAACTCGTCTCCGCCACCGGTCTCCTCGCCAGGAGCACAAAAGAACAGTATCAGATTCTCTGAAAACATCTGAATCTCCAAATCCATCCAAATCCCACTTCTTTGACATCTTTGCTGCTCTATTCATGCGAGTGTTGAGCAGGGATGCATGCCAGGTGACAAGAATGAGGACCAACAAACCCATCAGAACAAAGAGAAAACACGATGATTCTCTTTGTACAGTAATTACACTCTGCTAAGGAATGTGGACGCATCCTTGTATGATTGACTCTTCCGCAGTTTGCTAGGTCAGTGGAGTGCCTATGATGGTGGGTGTCGCCCTAGAAGTTGCATGGTTGTTGCATTGCCTCTTTTACACGACGAACATGGAAGCTACGAGGAACAAGTGCATCGCTTCTAGTAACAAGTGCCTTACTACTAGTAACAAGAAGCTACTATGTTCCCCAAGTCTCAAGTGCCCAAAGGCTGCTCCTTATTGCCCACAATGTTTTGTGCAAGCTCCAATCCAGAGAACAGGACCTGCAGGGCCCAGAGGATCCAAAGAGATCTAGGTTCTTCGAAAGATTCTGAGAATGACGGTTTACATGGTTACACCTTCCCGGTCTTTCTCCGCGAAGATAATGAGGTATATGTCCAGGAGAATTCAATTGCACTTTTGGAAGGTCCAATTCAATTGTCACTTGGGAATATGATTAATTTACATGTCCTCAGAAACATCTGCCTGAACGAACAATTGTTCAAGAAACATGAAACATATAGACACATAACACACTTTTTGGCTGGAAATGGATAGAACAACACACCACTCTCTCTCACTATATATATGGGAGTTGATCTAAATTCCTTTATCCGGGATCCGTCATTTTCGCCAAAAAACAAAATTACTTTCGCCAAACTTTCGCCTTCCTGCGTTTTATCTTTCGCCGAAGTACGTTGTATTTATGCGTGCCATGTATGTTGTGTTTTGTTCACGTCAATGGCTTCTTCACTACTGGCAAACACAAAATAGAAACTTCACTGTTTGTCAGCATGTGTCGTCTTCTACTTAACTGTTGACACCCTGTACGTCTCTTTTGTTTCTCCTGGGTGTCAGCAAGAATCAAAATTGCAAGAATCACTGTAGTAGCCGGTCACTCAAACTTACTCATAATGGGCTGGGGGTCAGATGTGGCAGGGTGAACTTTCGCCAATTTTGAGCTGAACTTTCGCCAAACTTTCGCCTTTTGCGGGGTAGAGTTTTGTGGCAAAGCCACCCCCCAAAGCAGGAGCAGGAGTAGTAGTAGTAGTAGTAGTATAATAGTAGTAGTAGTAGTAGTAGTAGTAGTGGTAGTGGTAGTGGTAGTGGTAGTCGTAGTAGTAGTAGTAGTAGCAACCGCAGCAGCAGCAGGTTATCTAACTTCCACAGCTCATCTAGCTTCTGAGTCACTGCCACCAGCTGTTCAGAAAGCAAATGAACATTCATACAAAAGTACATATTTAATCTTTCGCCAGATCTTTCGCCAAAAAAAAACTTTACTTTCGCCAACTCGAGAAAAAACTTTCGCCAAATGAGATTTTGATATGTTCCGGGTCATCGTCATACACACTGCTGACTAGGACCTTTAGATCGACAACCATATATATATATATATGTTTTTTCTAGATACATGTATATTATTATTCCCAAGCAGAAACTCTTTGTTAAAATCCCGCCACAGCTTTTTTGAGACTTGAGTTTGGGAAACCAAGATCCAAAACCACACAAACCACCGCACCTCTCGCATCTTCTGTACCACCGGACTGGGCCTTGGTGCGGGTTATACAGGGTATGTGGAAGGAAGGGTTCCTTCACCCACAAGCCTCAATTACCTTGGATGCCACTGGAAATGGTCAATTTACAAGAAAGGAGTTGAAGTCAGGAGCTTAAACATGCTGGAGGCCACGGCAGCACCACACAAACAAGGTCAACACAAGCAGTATCTCATATTTTTGGAGTTCCATAAATGGATGGGGTAGAGGAGCAAGGACGCTACTAGGGGCTCCTGGCATCGCTACTAGGAGCAAGGACGCTACTAGGGGCTCCTGGCCTTACTACTAGGAGCAAGAAGCTATTAGAAACAAGAATGATGATATGGATGGTGCTTGCTGATGTGGTTCCCAGCCTCGCAGCACCCAAAACATCGACCCCCCGTGCTTCGTGCCATCCAGCGGTTCTCGGGACGAAGGGACTTATGCAAAAACACGGACTTCCCAAGGACAGTCTCCATGGTCAAATGTCTACCTCTTGCAGGATTGTCAGGTTTGCATCGATCATCAATGTTAGTTGTTGGTTGGTTGGCTGTTTGTTGGTTGTTGTCTGTGTTTGCTGT